CCTCACGCCAGAACTGACCACGATTTTCCCTGCTAAGGTTACAGAGGACCCGCAACACACTCGCAAGGCACAGTTTGCAGGCGGTCTTGCAAGAGATAGCAGCTTCCCAGCTGTCTTGCCACGCGCTACGTTCAGTGTGCTAATGGGGCACCCCAAGGTTGGTTGAGATAAGAGAATAAAGAGACAGACATATGCTGGAATGTACCACTCAACCAAACAGCCAAATTGCTCAAGTAATTTGCTCAAACAAATTAGGCTTCCACATTTATCCCTACTTTCCCTAGCTATACAATTCTTCTGGGCGGTACGGCATCAACAGCCACTTCTTTCCCAATTACTCAACCCAAAGTGAAGCCGTCTGGTTTAACAGTGTTTTGCGAAGATGATAACCAGTTCTCCCTCTTCCTCCCTCTCTCCCAGATACTGGCTAACTTCACAAATTAATAACGGCATCACTGGGACTTTATTTCAGTATACAGAGCGTTACAGCTCACTGCTGCTGAAGACTCCTCTAAGAGAATCCAAAAATTTACAAACCACACACAACACACATTTTAAAAAAAGCCCAGGCACACAGAAGGCTACACCATCCCCTAAACAGGGTTCCTTGAACATCTCACTTCTCATTAGCTACAACTGCAAAGCAAATACTAGAAAATATGAAATAAGAGTAAAATATTCTCTCTGCTTGTCTATAAAGGAAGGAAATAGTGATATTTTAGATGTGCCACGTGAGAGAGACTTCACAGAGTAATTATTTGCCAGAGAGTAATACCTCTACTTTGTAGTACTTTGGTTCAAAATATACACAACTAAGGATTTTAGGTCTAAATAATTTAACGTGGCTACTCTTGAGACTGGCTGGCGGAGCGTACACATTTCATTACAAACCAAAACGTTAACCTTGCTTCACTGAAGTAAAAATGAGCAATCTTAGCAAAACAGTCTCTCACGAGCTCTGCAGCCAATGATGGAGCTAAAAGATGCAGCACAGAAACACACACTTCAAATGCCTTTTGGACCTACCAGTCAATGATTTTTTTTTTTTCCCCAAAAAAAGCAATTTAAGTAAATACAATAGATGTACTGGGATATAGATGTTTTCTTCTGCTGTGAAGCAGCACAGACTGTGCATTCTCCATTGTACCAGGTCCTATAAAACAGTTGATAAAAAATTAGAAAGTCTGCCAGAGAGCTGGAAGGGCACACATCAACCAGTGCAACAGCCTTAGGGCCCTCCTGTCAGGTCGAACTTCCATGAAATAACGGCAGCCGAGTTTCCAAAAATTCCTAAAATTGGACTTATGATACTCCACAGAAAGTGGAAATCCCAGTTAATGACGTAAACTACCTACGACGACCGGCAAACAGAAGAGAAAGACACTGGCGTGCTTTCAGTCCTTGTCACGGCAGATTTCATCGCTTTCTTGACAAGCTTTACTCAAGGCAGGGTACACGCTGCCCACCACGCACCAGTGGAAGAATTCTTGCTTTCTGATTGCTTGTCTATTCAAAGCTACTTTCTGAATACACAGTTTGGGATTGTTTCTATGCTGTCACATATTTTTGAAAACACAAGCAATCAGAAAGCAATAATTAACTGGTTTTGTCGTACCTAACTCTACAACTGTTATTATTCCTTAACTAAGAAAATAGTGTATCAAAAGGTAGGGGAAAAATAGGAAGTCAAACAACTATAAAATCCCTTCTTTTTAGAACAGAAAAAAAAAAAAATTTAGATTCAGCAAGTTCTCACTAGAAATATTGCTATAAAGTATTGATTTTTTACCAGACTCAATTGACTGAAAAGTTGTTTGTATAGCAATATCGGCCAAGCCAATATACTGGAACAATTTTGCTACACACAGTAATCAAGTGTATTTCTGAAGTATAATTATACTGTCATAAAAATAAAGCTAAGATACCTCTTCTCCAAGCAATAAAACAGTTGCAGCTGTAAAGAACCCAAACAAATGAAATACATTTTCTAACTAAACATAGCGTCTTCCAAAGAGAACAAAACCACCTCCCCTCTCCCCCTGAAGCCAAGGTTAGCATGAAAAGTGATCAATACTTCAATCTCAATAAACTATTTCAATAGTAGTTAATTCACGTGGAAAGAGAGCCTGAAAATTTTTGCTCAGCGACCTGCGACACGCTATCTTGTTTGCTGAATGCTGATAATATATCATTGCCATAATGGATATGACTTAGTATAAAGAGCTAGAAAGAAAGAAAAAACAAAAAAGATACCACATAGACACGCTCGTTCTTTAGATTCAGATCAATACTACACACAGCCGCTCCTGAAACAAACCGCCAGCGTGGAATGCTGGAAGAGGAAAACAGCCGAACGTTTGCAATTAATTTTATTTGACAAATGTTTATTGATTTACTGGAATAAAATATATGTGGGCTGCTATCTATGACTAGTGCAATCCAGCTACCTGTAAGTATTCCATTTTGCAATTTCTTATGGGCTTGTGTAGCACAGATGCTCCTTTGGGGAGGGAGAACAGGCTTCCCTCTACAAAGGGGTGATTGTTCCAACGTAGGAAGTTCTACGTGCTTTGTCACCACGGCTTGGTAACGGGGATGAAAGAGTGAACTGGCACAACTCTCCAATCCAACGCACCGAGAAAGAAATCCGGGAAGATCCGAGAGGAACACATAGCTTAGAAGCCAGTTTTGGGAGAAAAACTGTATTTCATGTTTACATCCTGCTAATATCTGCATTGCAAAGAAAGTCAGACTTCGGGAATGCGTAAAGCATCCACACCTAAAAACGGTGCACGCTGCCCGGAGCAGTGCGAAACGGCACTTGCACTGGAGAAAGTGCTGTGAAGTCACTGCAACTGCTAATTTAAAATATGAACGCAATAAAGAAGAAAAACAAAGGTTAGAAATACTTCCCTGATATAGAACAGGGCTCATGTTTTTACAGGTAAAAACACAGATCACGGCATCAGCCCACACGATGCAGCAAGTCAACGCAGAAGTATTATGCGTTCCCTCCTGTGCTATTACCCTCTGCGCCTTGAGTGTTCACAGCTCTGTTCCTTCATCGCTCCTGAAGACTCTTACTAAAGCAGTAGTCATCACGAGAGAAAATTATTTTTGTAAAAATATTAAACAAAAAGCAGGCATGTAATCATACTACCTTTCAGAAGCACAAAAAGAAGCCCAAAAGTGCCAGTTTGGCTTTACACAGCAGTTCATCCAAATTCCCCGTAGGAATTTAACGAAATGTGAAACACGTACTAGGCACGTGGCAACGTTATAAAAGAACGAGATATTTTTATTCCACCTTCTGCACCTAAAAGCACGGCATCGCTGTACGCACCGCGCGCACGCCGCAAACGCGGAAGGGAGCTGTTCCTTGTGAGCAGGGCAGGAGCAAGCAAACCGACAGACACGAGGTTCGGCCGATCCGCAGTGCAAAAAGCAAAGCACACGCTCGCTTGCCTCGGTTACATTCCTTAGACTTTGGCCACTCTTAGACACAGGATGAAGGGGAGAGACTTTTGGTACGACCTGGTACGGCCATTCTTACGCTGCTCGTGATTTCGCACTGCTAGCCCCTTATTTCAGCTACCTCTCTAAAGAAAATGACCCAGAATTGGGTAACGATGACACACGTGGGTTCCCTCACTCGGTGGGATATTCCTCGTCTCTAACTGTGCCTCAGGTGCCTTCCACAGGGACCAGAGTCCGTGGCCGTCCTTTGCGATGTTTCTCCCACCTACATCCACTCCCGGATCCTCCATCAGCACGGGGGGAAGGGAAGGAACCTGCTCTACATCAGAAAAAACCCACAAAGTCACTGACCGAGCTGTAGAGTTCAACACACTCTCTCAAATCTTTCTTATTATAAAGTAAGAAAACAACACTGTTTCTGCAAGTTTCTTGGTCTAGGAATGTTGTTCTACAAGGGGATGCCAACGAGATTCCTGAACTCCATTCCATTCACAAGGCCAACCTCATTTCTGAAGAGTCCGTTCAAAGACGGGGTTTGTTCCTTTAAGGTTTTGGAAGTCCATTTTCATTAAACCTTCTGCAAGGAGAGTCGTTTTGCAATGTTGGCAGCCAATTAGAAACTAAACTAAATGCACCATAGCTTTTAAAACATTTAAAAAGCCCCGTTAATATCAAAGTTAAAATGTCTAAGGTATAAACAAAATCATAATGGGATGCTGGGTTACTGTATATGGTAAATAGCTCTCTGGAGGAAACCTTTATTACTCCCTCAGGGCTTTCTTACAAAGTATGGATTTCTTAATTCCTAGTGGAATATTTTTCATACACCACTGCAGACTATTAAGTACCAGATATTACATTATGTAGTTTAAACTTTGCACTATGCATGAGAAAGACTTTCCTGTCGAGAAAACTATATCTCTGCTATTATAATCTTTACAATATTAAAATTAATACTGGCTGCAGGGTATAAGCTTCACTACCAAAATTTGGGGGAGTTTATCATTTAATATATTCATCAGCCTGTGTGCGAAGCTGCTCGTAAGGGAGGGAAGTCACCGCAACAGTGAAAGGGGTCTATAGTAATTTCGAATTGCAAGCGAAAGGCAGAGCGAGGGTGTCATCACATCCCACCGGTGTCAGCCTCGGTACCGGGCTGGCAAAGGGCGTGGTAAGCCAGCAAGAATAATGGCACTGCAAATACTGAAGGCAATTCATTATGTTTCAGGACATTTCAAGTTCCACTTGTGAACCATTAACTTGTTACCCAGGAGGGATTCAAAGCTAAGCATTAAAAAGATAATAAAAATGCACCAGCCCTCACGGCATCCAAAAGCAGACACCTTGCAAATATGTAAAGAGAATTCCTTAAAAGTTTATATTAAGAATTTATTTTATAATCTTCTCTGCATAGCAGCAACGGCCCACCTACATCTCAATACAAGTATGAAGGGTAAAAAAAAAAAAAAAAAAGAGCTGTTAAAATTTATTTTCGAAAATTTTAAGTGAAATTCAACACTCACTTGTAGACTGTGCCTCCATTGCCATGACCGAGGATGTCTCGATACCGTATGTCTTGTTCATTCATCTCCACAAGAAAGGAAGAAAAACAAAAGAGATGTCATGCTGTGGATGGAAATGTCAAGGAAAAGCAACTCTAGGCCATAAACAACAAGCAGTCTGGGTCATTTCAAGTTCAGCTGCAAGAACGAGAAGATCAATACAACATTTGCTGTCCAATTTATAAAAGACGATACCAAGGGACAAAGTGATGGAAAGTTTAATGACAATTTGTTTGCCTGGGTCATTTCATTAAAGTTTGATAAAAGGTGTCAAAATGGAATGATATAATATAGCTCAAGAGGGTCAGGTCACAGATACTGATAGGAAAAGGGTCTCCAGAACAGCACATAACCAAAGCCAAAGTTGGAGGTGAATGGAAACAATCCAACAGAAAACTGTCATCTTAAGTATGGCTAGAAAAGTTTATGATTTATTCTGGAATCAGCATAATTGATACTAATTGAGTGACAGTTCTGTCAGTAGGATTGCTTCATCGTGCTTAATTTATATACCTTTTAACTAAAGGAAAGAGTCTGGGAAAAAAAAAAAATAGTCTTGAACTGCTATTCTAAAAATATTTTTCCTTGAAGTACACAACTAATTGCTTGTCTCAGTCTTTCTGCTCACTGGGACAACTCTCCAGATTTGATGATATCCTCAGATACTCGAGCAGAAGCCTGATACAAGCACTGTACATTGCAGATGCTGGAATTTGGGATCTTTCTGATACGCCTATTACACATCACCTTGCTGGATGAGCAATTTAAATGTAAAGCTACAGTTCAACCTTCTCCTGTACAAATACAGTTATGCTGATCTTCCAGCTAAACCACCTATTAAAAAAAAAAAATCACTACAGACATTTTTGGAAAGCATACTTTAAATTAAATATTTTAAATAAGAGTAAATGCTGGGCTGCATGCATCTGCTGTTCCAAAGAGATCTCCTCCATTGTCTGATCACTGCAAGTGATACATGTCTGGGCTTATTCAATTTTTAAAAGATATTTTCCTAGGAATTTGTCACCAAATCATTAACTTGTTTCTATTAACTATTTGTATTTGATGGGATACCAAGTTGAACATTGCACATGAATTGGAACGGCTGCTTAAAGACTCTGTCACTTGTGTGTTAAACGGCATCAAAACCCCCTCCATGATATCGCTGATGTGATTAGAAATCACATAAGCACATCTGAGATAGCTTCAAATTAGCGATTTCAAGTACCACAAGCACCATGGTGAGAGCCACGCAGAGCTCGCCATAAGCCAACTATCTGTGTTTACCCGACTTCTGAAACGGCTTTTGCAACTCCGCGGGGACAAGGGCCCTTCCGTCGCTAAGCCGTGTTTAAGCATCCCTTTTCATACGATGTCAGTGCAGATAAGAGGAACTTTGCCCCTGGCTTCAACTGGCACAAGTCAGTGATGGTAACAAGCTGAAATGCCCTAAAGAGTCAATATTAAGCATGTCCTATGAACAGAAAATGGAGTATTTAGTTGATTTAAATTAATATGTTTTAAGGACAGGAATGATGAACTCCAACATTTGTGTTCTTTCCTTTCACTACCGGAATAAAAAGCACACTTATTTCTCACTGGAAATATTTTTCCTCTATGCATTTCTTCCAGTGAGGTTAAAATCTCCGAGTTCTGAGAAAATTCAAAACACCTCAAAGCAGAAACGGATTCTGCATTACTACCTGTTTGTAGTTAAACCTGGGCCAGATATCCTAAGAGGGTATGAAGTAGCCCATTCAAGTACCAAGGTTTATGATGAAAATTAGAATTTATTTTATTAGTGAAAGCTATCTTGCTTACTGCATCAACCAGAAAACGCAAATAAAGGCAGGGGGGAAGAACAAGACACCTCATAAGGAACAATAATTCATGAATGGGTTTTAAAATGTGTAAAGAATCAATGCTGGATCCCTTGCACTAAAAAGAATTTCTCTGACTGCAGTACTCATTAATTTAAAGCACACATTGAGCTTAAGGAGTTCTGCACTTCTAAGTTGGAGGACTTTAATTCTCCAGTCTTTGAGATAACAACAAACATCTCTTTCCTATATTCCCAGCAGCGTTCTTCTGAACAAAACCCTTAAGAGAAATCAAATGAACCCACAAAGCCATGAACACACTTGTATCTTTGCTTCTTGGGAGGGAAAAAGAATTTTTTGGCAGTTACACAAGTTATAAGCAACAAATTGAGCAGAACCAGAGACATAAAGCACATTCTCTTTCCTCCTGCTTTTTGCTAACTGGTAAAAGGCGAGTATTTTCTTTGCAGCGTTCCCTACAAGCCAGCGACAGGAGCAGCTCCATCCTCTGCGGCTGCACCGCTCGCACCCGCTGCCAGCCCAGCACCATTTCTTGTCGCTGTGCACAAAGAGCAACCAGAAACCCTGGGTGAAATAGGAAGACTGGGTGGAGCAGGGATCTGCCAGCAACCGATAGAGAGATAAAGTGTGATTTAATGGCTCAAATAAAGATGCCAAAAACATGTGGTGATTTATTTATTTTACTGGGAAAACTGGATTCTCAATCATAAAATGATAACATAATAACAATGAACTCAACAGTAAGGACTGGAATATTAAACCTGCAAACCCAAGTTTGATTGGATGCCGATATTAACAGAATTAATGAAAAAGCGAAAGAGACTTCAATTACGGACCAGCAAACAAAACATCCCTTGCTTATACGTGCTGGTTTTGAAAGAAATCAGTGTCTATCTCTTGTAAATCATTAAAAGCAAAATGCTCAATTAATCCTTATTTTATACGTAAGGGCCTGACAGAGGCAAAGTCCTGTAGCCATACCTTTGCTTTACGAATCGAAGCAATAATGGTTTCAGAAAGCAGTCACACTCTATGAGCAGACAATTGAAGAGATTTAGTAAATCCCACTTTATAGAGCAGAGACTAATCGGAAAACACAAGCCAGTCAAATGTTTCTTATGAACTGTTGACACTATATCAATGCTGAATCAATTGGTGGCATTTACTCTGAGTGACAGAAAAGAAATAAATATTTATATCGCATCACCTATATCAATGAACCTAGGCAGAAAGCTATTTCTAACCTGTCAATATTTGATTATCTTGAAGAATCATGTCCCCTTCTTTTAATGATTAATATGAATTCCTTATTAAACCTAAATGGAAACTACTAGAGGAATATCATTATGAATGCCTGAAAGCATAAACTGCCAAAAAATAATAAAAAATAATAGCCCAACCCATACTTAAGTAATGATAAGTGTGACTTAATCCCCCCAAAAGGGGGAAAAGTTAAAGTTACAACTAGAAACCTATTTCCAGTTACGGTTCTGTGACCAAATTTTGCAGAACACAATGCAGCATAACAAAAAGCATTTGCTCTCAACTGAAAGCAGTGTAACTCCTATCACAGCAGGGTGAATAAAACAGTATCAAAACTTATTTTGAATTTTCTTTTTTTTTTTTAAATTAGTTACAGTAACATTTTTTAATATCATAATAGGAGTTTTGGTTCCTTTATATCTTTCTAACATGCTGCCACACAGGGAAGAAATCTGTACCAATCTATCGCAGGGCACACAAAATACTCATTTCTATTCCTCAGAACCAATAAAATGCCAAATACAGCTTATGGACTCTATCACCAAAAGATGGCTTTTACTTACATCCAGTAATTCTTTTCCAAAAAATCAGTAATATTGGAGTAATTATCAGCTTCATTTTAAAAGTTCAGAAGCATGCTGCTGGTACTTACAGAATTTTAAGTTACCCAGAAAAATACATTATTGAGCTATGACTTTGAAACATTAACAAAACCACCTGGCAGGAATCTGTGAATATTAAACTAAGCCTGCACGTAAGGAACGCTGACAGGCTTAAAAATACCTTTCGAAGCGGTATTCAAAGGATTCAGTGCCAAACAGGCAAGGCTGCAATCCTGGGCTGTTCGACTCACATTTTAGAGGGGCACTCTCATCTATTAGACCGCAATGTTACAGGTGATACTGAAGGACAAGCATGAAGACCAGCCTTTATCTTCTTGACACGCTCAACTACAACTACTTGATTCATGAAATGCCAATGAGGCTTGGAGAGGTCATTGTGTGAAGGCACTGAATACGCATCTGAGATAATTAAGATTTCAGCCTTCGAAACATGGAGGGGAAGTGAACAGCAGTTAAGAAAATCAATAAGAGTCTTTTATTTGCAGTGACACAGATGTCTCAGTCAATAGAGCCTAATAGGCAAGCTTGATCGCAACGGACAGGTGCCTGCCTCCAAGGCTATCAAAGGGCTTTCACTATGACAAACGTTAAAACGTATTTATGTTGCTGCTGAAGAATCTGGGATTCTTTTAAGGGAGTTTAATTTAACGGTGTATATTTAATGTCATTACGCTACTGCAAGCCTGGCTGTACATTCAGCTCAAAACGGGCAAGACACGATTGCTCCGCTGGTCCAGGACAGCACTTGTCCATCAATGGTTACATTAAACCTTTCACTTCTGGGTGCCAGAACGCCTGGAGCAGGAAGGGAGAGTAACAAGACAGCTTTCTACAACTTTGGGGGGTTTGTTTTAGTTTCGTTGTTCCAATTTGTTTTTTCAAGAAGCTACAACATAAGGTGATTCCAAACAGCGCAGAGTGGTTCCCTGCAAGAACCTGCTAAATATTTAAGTATCTACTGCCCTAAAAAATACAAAGGGCATCCAAACTGAGCAGTGGACTTAGTTATTCAAAATTGATTAACTTTCTTCCCTGGAATTGTGGCAGCGGCGCAACACGTGTGAGGTACTTCAATCTATTTGGAGCTAAATCTGATTAGCACATTTTGAGAAACGGGAAGCAAATTGCTATGCCAATCAAAGTAAACCAGGACACATAACTCATTCATATCGTGAAGGTTTTCATGGTCCCTCCAGTTCTGTATTAAAAGAACACATTACAACCAAACGAGCAGTAAGCATCTCTCCACCTAGTCGTGGCACGCCAGTCACCGCCGTATTAGGCAGCGATGAGATGCGCACGTAGCCAAGGCTCAATTCCACGCACCTACCTGCCCATTCGCAAGTATTTTCTTCAGCTCTGCAGAAGACTTTTTTAAGCTGAAAAAAAAAACCCAAGAGGCAATTATTTTTAATGACAGCGCCATTTCACTCTATAAAGTGAAGTGAAACCATAAGGAACAAGAAGCCATCAGATTAAGTTCATGGTTACATACCCTAATAGATTTAACTTTAGCAACGCTGACTGACGTTCAGCACAGCTACCCCTCAAACTGCAGACAGCAGAAATGGAGGAGCAATGGACATTTAAGAAAATCAATATATTTTTCACCTTTACAAATCAGCTTTTTTAGATACCTGACTATACCACCATTTGAGATACACCCTACTGTCAGTTCAAAGAGGAAAAAGAAACAAAAAAAAAAGAGATACCTTCACACCAGGTGCTTCAAGAAACAACAGGAAAATAAGGCTCACATCCACTTTTCAGCTGTTTTATCTTGTTTTAAAACCCCTTAAGGCATTATCCCTCAATAATTCCTATACATCTGCGGCAGCAGGGAGTGCCATCGATGATGCTTTGCTACGTCAGCTGACCGTAGACTGGATCCCGGGGAGCAGGTCTGATTTTGGCATCTCAGGGACACACCTAAACTGAGGGCAGGGGGGAGTCCAGATTGCCATGTGCATCCATTCCAGGTCAACTTGCTGTGCTTTTTCAGAAGAAATTACTCCTGTGTCAGTAGTCTTCCATTATGCAAAATGTCCCATATTATTTTTTTTTGAGTAAGAGAACTTTAATAAACCACAACTATCATCTCGGTGTGTTTTCTAGGTAAAATTATTAATGGCTTCGAACTACTTCCACCCACTCTCAAAATACTGCTTCACCTCCTTTCCTGACAAACTCTGCTCCCTGTACGTTCCACACAACAAACTGCCTGGGTAGCAGTATGTCTGCAAAACTTAATCTCAAAGAGACATTCTGCTCTTATTACCAAAGTGGAAAAAAAAAAAAAACGTACAAAATAATATATTCTTGAAAGGCATGTGCACGTGTCTTGATCACAGATCATTATTAACAAGAACAGTGAAAACACAGATTTCATATTTGGTGGCTTTGTTCTTTAATAGGCCTCTTGTTCCCACGACTACTTTAAAGAAAAATTAAGTTTTCCAAGGAAACATAAGTTGATCTTGTCATCTTTCATGACTAACAATTTGTGAACATGAAACAAAGAGAGACTTTCAATTACTTCAAAAACAAAACTCATAGTGCAGAAGGTTTCGGAAAAGGAATGGCAATTAACCACCAAATAAGGTGACAAGAATCTTCTAGAAGCCTCATTTTCAACGCACTTTCAGAACAAGCTCAAAGTACAGGCAGTACCGAAAGCCAAAGCCCAGCAGCGACAGAACGCAGCTTTATTTAGTTCAGCGGTGTGACAGATCGGGAGGAGGACTGCAGTTCGTGAGGACACCCAGATTTATTTTCTTTAAAGAGTCGTGGATAGGACCTTCACCACCGCAATACCCAGCAAATCTTCCCCAAGGGACAGGGGCAAACTTGACCAGAAGAGGTACCTGACACAGGGTATTGGCTTTCTTTGCTTTTTTAATCTCTACAATTAACAAAGCCACCAAAGGGAGCTCACAACTGGTTGTAGCGGCACCTAAGCGAGGCAACCCAGGCAGCACCGCTCCAGCACTGCTGCCAACCACGCGGGGTGGCGTCCTCCTTGCCAACGGGGAACCACGTCGATCCCTCCCACCACGCCAAGACAGGGTTCGTGGGACAGCCCCACCACTGCGGCACTTCCCGGCGTCTGCCAGCACGGGTACCAACGCTCCACCGACCGAACGGGCTTAACGCACTACGACCGCTCTGTTCATCTTTGCCAGTTGTTATTTTTATTTTTTTCAAAATGCTCTCGGAGAGAAAACAGAGCAGCATGCTGATGCATGGATAAATGCAACATTACATGCTTATTAGAATAATAGAATAATTTAGGTTGAAAGGGACCTCCAGAGATTTCTATTCCCATGTTTCAAATATGCTCTTTTACGAAGAAAATGGAGCCAGCCTTCTTTTATTTCCTTTTAAGAACACATAAGGGGTTTTGGTGGGATTTTTGGTTATTTGTTTTAAAATCAATATGGAGTACAACGACTTCCCGGAACAGTTCCTGTAATAAAAGGGAGTTTACGCTCCAGTATTTAAAATCAGATCTCTAGGAAAAAAGAAAACGAGTTCTTCTGCATTTTAAGATCTTAATATGGGTTTTCAAATTAGGACTGGAATCCAAAAAGAAAGATAAGGGAGTTGGACTCCAAAACTTTGCTGAAACAGGATGAAACAGGGCACCTAAGCTGTTCAGATTTTTCAAAACTCTTACCCACAACAATGAACCTACTGAATTGGGTACCAAATTTTAAAATCAAAGAATCCTGGAATGAGATAAGCCACAAAGACCCAAACGTACACACCTTGCCATAGACAGTGACTATTAGATCAACTAAAACAAATTCCCTCACCCACAAACAGTATTTCAATGCTTCCTAAAGGACAAAGCCACCCGAAATATCCAGCAAAGACTTATTTCTTTCAGCAGAAAATACTTCTCCCGAACACGCAGCAGTCCCAGGCTAACAAGACCCATGAATCAAGGTAATTTCGTCTTCCCCACTCCACTCCCGTGCCCAGCAGTCATATTGAAAAAGTTACTCAACATCAAGCTTGTCCTTGGTAACCACCGCACACCAGGTTCCATTTTGTTTTAAGAAAAGACAAGAAAACAAGACAAACTCTCCCATTCCTGACTCTTACCTATTGCTTGGAAGGGAATCCGAGACGGCCGAACTGCTATTATTAGCAGACCCTGCTCGAGTATTTACCTGCAGGCAGGGAAAGGATCTTTATCAGTCGTTTGTGTTCAGAGGACACTCTTCTAATTAACCTGTAATTTGCCATGAATTTCTCATTTCACTATGAAGGTTAATTAGCTTGTTGCTAGGCATGCCGACGGTTGAGGCCTCGCCCGTATGTAGGTTAGCAGGCTATAATTCATGGACTACAATATCCTATCTTTACATCTTAAAGGCTTAGTTAAATAATACAGAAGAAAGAGATGATATGTCCACCATTTATCCTCCTTTTAAAAACTAAACAATCATTTAATATATTCACAGCCTTCTGCATTCCAAAACGACAATGAATACAGAAGCAATACGCATACCTGAATGAGTCAAACGACCTAAAAGAATTTCATTGCAGTGCCTTCCACACTGAGATACATTACTGAAATCAAACGGATATGGTGGGGTTTTTAAAACTCTTTGAAGTAGCAGCAGACATTAGTTGATAAACTGAATATTAAAATTTAGGAACCTTATTAACAGAGGTTAAAAACAAAAAGAAAGGCAATTCCATTTCTAATAAAACTGAATATACAGATATTGCAGCCAACACCCAGCAGATGAATCCTTCTCCCACCCTCACAAAAAAAAAAAAAGAAAAAGAAAAAGGAATTTTATAAAATCTGCTTGTCAGAGCTCAAGAAAGTGCAGTTTTATTTGACATTTCAATAAGTGGAACACAGCATTACAAATCCATCTAACTTTACTGAAACAATTATTGAAATTCGTACCTTCAGGCCATGTATGTTCCGTTTCCCAGGAGGCTTGCAGGCTGAAACAGTAATTGACTAAATTGTAGAACACATCAGGGCCATTTACAAATTTGCTCAAAATGAATCTTTTAAAAAGAAATGAGGGTGACACCAAAATTAGCAGAGAGAAATGATTGAAAAGTGCCTCCCAAGACCCAGAGTGGGAATTATGAACCAGAATTTTTAACTTGCAGGAGTGAGCATTTATAAATGCTAAGAGCTTTCTGACACCATGTAATATAAATTCTAATTTCTGCTTAAAACACATCAAAATCAAGAGGACTGTTGGCTTGAATTATCAGATTTTTTTGGTAATTCAAACGAAAATCTTATGTCACTATATTTTCACACGCTGTATTTTTTCTAGCACCGAACAGAAATATTTGCAAGATGTATTTTAAAGGAGTCAGCTCATCATGAACTAGTCATATTGTCAAATGCAGACAGTTTGTTTTAAATGTGGAAAAAAAACCCCACATTGGGGGGTGACAGCAGTGAGTCTCAAGAAACCAAGCACTGGATAAATGCAATACCAAAATGCCACATTTTGGATGCAGACGTACAGACGTGGCATCTCATTATGATGTCTAGGTTTACAGAGGGACATGCCGCTGGAGGAGAAAGTGTTTTCCTCAAGTCTCTTGAACCACATATCGCCTGGTTCCTCCATTCAGCGGATGTGCTTTTGTCAAATGTTAAAGCCACAAAGGCTTCCAGCTACATGTTACAGACAGTTCCCATTTTAAAACTACAGTGCCCTACAAATTGTATGTTAAAGGGCCTGTCACTTTTGATTGATTGTCTGAGGAGGGATGAATTTGATTTTTCTCTTTCTCTGATGCACATGCATTTCCCTTCAATTTTTGACAGCAGGAAACCGAACTATTTATTAGTCAGAAGGACACAGATGATAGTTATTAAACACATCAGTTAGGGCCAGGCCATGTGCCTTTAAATGACATTAGAAATTACCATGTGCATCTGTAAGAAGAAAAATATTATGATACTGTGGGCATCAAAAAAACCCCAACCAGAAAACAATAAACTATTCTAAAATATATATAAGCATATTAGATGTTTTCCAATACATTAAAATCGACACTTTGAACAACATATGAAAAGAATAATATTTTTCATGACACATATTTGAATAGCATGGTCACCTTGCACTCCCCAGATGCGATACATATATGTAACATAGGCAAGATACACAGGGGCGGACGCACACACACTGTTGTTTATGTATGTGCACACACAGAGGTTTATTTTCAGTACAAAAAAAGAACTCTGGCTCTTACTCCCTAGACAGCAACAATACATTATTTTTAAAAATAGACAAAATACCAATTTTCCTCCTTAAAGACTCTTAAATTATTAAAAGACATTTAAATTATCGAACGAATAAAGCACAGCCAAGGTAACAGAGGATGGCACGTGGACATTTACTACTCGTAGGCTTTATGGAAGACACGAGTTTTCAGAAGCTGCCTGGAGACGGCAACTGGGAGGCTTCCTCAGAAGTAAGAGGGGTAGAAAGGGAAAAGGACTCAAAGGAAAACTGGGCTTGCAAAGAAAGCTCTTAAAAAGGGAGAATCTTAAATTACAGGGCTTTAAACTGCAGTATGTAGAGAGACATGGCCAAAAGGGCATGAAGGAAGAGCGCTTGTGCTAACAAAATTTGGGATGTTATTAGAGAGGCAGGACAAGAAGATGGAAAAAAAAATGCAGGGAAGAGCATTTTGTTCAATATTGCAGAAGAGCAGCAGTAGAACTTGGAGGCGGTCTGGGTACGAAGGGAGTACAGGGTAGCTTTAAAGCTGTAACCTAGAAAGAATAGATGTTTTAAGAAGGTGATTTGGAAAGATGAAACAGCAACTCAGCTCTGAAGCAATTTAGAGTAAGTGGCAAGCCACCTACAAGGAAATACCCAGCAGACACGCGAACAGTTAAACCAACGGTGAAAACGTGGAGATAATACACAGGGATCATATCCTCAGCAGCCTGGAGATGAATTCTGAACCTCCACAGTCAAAGAAGATTATCCTTGGATGTAAAGCTAACAGAAAAAGCAGACAGCAGCAGGAGTAGGAATCTACTTGGCTGGTTCCTCAGGAAGGACCCAAAAGGAGAATCTCAAAGAAGGTTACGCCTGATTTGTAATCTCAAAACATCCCTTTAAACACTCAGGCATGCCAGCTACTGAGCACAAAGAACCGTTTGCTTAAAGGGAAATATATCTGATTGCCTTGTATTTCCAAGAAGGGTTCCCCACCTACTAGGATCATCCACTGTATTGGTTTCTCCAAGCCACACGAAAGCCTAGCATTTTATTTCTTGCAAGCGGTGGCCGGTGGTTCTAGACAGAATGTATGTCGTAATTAAGTGGTAGTTGGGGAGAAAGGCTGAGACCCTCGCATCTCAGCCTGGGAAGAGGCAGAAGATAGCTTCCCTCTCCATAGCTGTCCTTGCGCTTCTCTCCCGAGAACACATCTCGACTGCTGGTTGCTCTGGAGTCCCGCAGCTCAAACATCCCGCTCAATCAGATCCTGCTAGCCTGAGCCACAAAAAAACCCAAGCCAAAACTCTCCGTTTTCCCCTTGAATTGACGTCTCTTTTGAACAGGAGCATACTAGACTACCAGGAAACCCAGCCTCCTTTTGAGACCTTATTAGCATGTGTTTGAGAAGGCTCTTGGTTAATTGCCCAATTCAAACTTCAGAGAGTTGTAAGTAATGGAAGTCTAGAACGTTTAATTGGGAGACTCATAGTATGATTATTTGTATAATATCAGTTAAGTGAGAAGAGTTTAATTTTTAATTATTTCAATTAATTTATTGCTGGGAGATTTACTTGGAGAATTTAAACCTTATCTGTTTCATCAATTAAGAATCAGAGATTCAAAGACTGGATACTGGGAGCATCTGAATGAATCAGCGGAATTACGTAATGGATTAGTCTTTTTTTAACCGTTATTTGAGTTCAGAGAGAGCAATGCATTCCCAAAAACCTAACTAGCTGCCTATGGATTTTTGCGCGGGATGTAGATGACCTATTTTTTAATTGCCTCGGCCCACATAATTGACTACATCTTCCCCTGTTCAGAAGAACTCTTATAAAGTACTTGTGATCACTTTGATACCACTGCTAAGTGCCCAAATCTCAAATAAAATGTGTCACGGATAGAGCTTCTGTGACAGACATGTTCCCATTTTCAAAATGAACAACGACAGTCACACTCGCCAAGTCTGTTAGACTGATTAATCATATTAGAAGATCTTAACAAAGCCCAATTTTCCTAAGTATCCAAAACTTAAGTTATTCATCTGCTTTGGTTTGAATACATGCAGAATCACCACCAATGAGTTTTTTAAATGTACTTAAATATGTACTATGCAAACTGAATCTTGTTAGTCTAATTTACTCCAGTAAATTAGCTATTTTATATGCAATAAATGTAGTTTTCTCTACACTCCCCACAATAATGAATTCTTCTATCCAAATTAAGAGGTAGACATCACGTTATGTGCATTTAAACCCCCCGAAAACATAACTGTTGATGAAACAGTTTACTGATATCATCATTGTTGATTAGAATTTGTTAAGCATTACCTCTTGGATATATCTGTAGAGGCTCTATTAACTGTCCATTTACTTGCTGTTCCATTACAGTGGAGTAATACTGCAAAGAGATTAAAGAAAGAGATTACTCAGTAATGTATGAATAGTAGTAAGAGCACTTATGGATTGTTTAATTCAATGTGGGTTTGGCTTTTTTTTTTAATTGCCATAGTACATATCAGCCTTCAGAATCCTCTCTCATCATTCGCAACGTTCACACAACAAAGCGACACGGGAGGAGCACAAGCAAGGGGGGTCGGTTATCGGCTCAGCTGAGCAAGTGTCGGGCCCACCTGAAACCCGTGAACGCTTCAGAAGAGCGAACCAAACATGTACAGCAAACACAGCAGCAGCTGCCGCACCTGGAGAAGCCGGGAAAACCGGTCAAACGTGGAAACAAAGAAATGCTGTAAATACAGTCAAAACCTGCGCAATTAGGAAAACTCCAAGGGAGAGGAGAACCTGGAAGCCATCCAAGGATTTGCAGTGATGAAGCACGGTCAGGGCAGTTGGGGTCACATCCCACATAAGCGGAGATGTCGCACACTCCCTTAGCGTACAAATTTAATGCACAGTAGGGTATGCAAAGCAGCCTTACACTGCAGACATATCGAGACCTTGAACTCCACAGGAACTGCTAGGAGTGATCTGGGGGGGAAGTTTGTTGATAAAGAAAGGCTAAGAACGGACAAAAAGGGATGCAAAAGTATCTGAGAACACCAAGACCCAAGAAGAGCAAAAAAATACGTAACGTGGTATGAGGAAGCCTGAGAAGTGGCACGAGGATGAAGATGAAGAGTGGTATTAAATGAAGAAATAAACATCTGGGATTAAATAAACTGAAATCTTTGTTAGCCTTTTTCAGTTGACCCTCACTCCTGAGGAGCAGCGAGCACACCGGACAGACGTTTAACGTTACGACCAGACAATCCTGGGGCAGGAGACAGACTTTGCTATGAGTTTACTGTCTATAACCCGCACATCTCTCATCATGATGTGTTAAATATCGACAGCACATCACAAAGCACGTTTCTTCTGCAATCGCCGAACATCTTTGAAGCAAACCCGCTGGCTGTGGGCCAGATCTTCATGGCATAAATCAGTGTGGCTCCACTGACTTTCATGCTAATTCTCACCAGCCGAGTGTGGTCTAAGACTTCAGCATGTCACTGTTACCAGCGTTTTGTGATACTATTACTCTAACTGGCAAGAATGGATGTCGACGAGGAAAAAAATTCTAAGTCTCTATGGAATCAACCACATGTATTTCACTCACACCAACGGTTTCCCATAACGCAAGCATTTTTTATCCATGCAACTTAAAAAAGATAAAAGTTTATTAACCACCTAATGTTACAAAACATTTTTATTTCCTCTTACAATGGGATTAAACTATAATAAGCAAGTGTTAGATGGACACCAAAGTCAATTCACGTGCAGAAGTTTTTCAGTACTTCTGTTTTTCAGATTCATGTCAAGAAACAGGAAGAAATTTTGCTTTGGTGAAAAAACTGTTTGAAAGAAAATTGCTGAGGGTTTAAGGATCCATCCAGCCCCACCTCCTGTGTGTACAGCTAGTACAATGCCTGCTGCTAAAAGCATTTCTCTCATTAAAATCTCGCCACAAGATTTTGGGGGGGGTGGGCATCTCATTCATATTAGTGCACAAACATATAAATCCACATCTTAAATAACCACGGGACACAGGCTTTCGCTGTGCTTATACAGAGAAAAGCTATTCATTCCAAAAGCCCATTCTTTTGAAACGATCAAGAGGTTTTTCAGGAGTCAGGACTATCCCATAGACTTATTTTGTATCGGGGGGGTCATGAATAACATGCCAAATCCTCCCCCACATCCCTTCATAAAAATGTGTCACCAGTACCTAACAGTTATGGAGCTGTGAAAGAACCTCCTCCTCCACCGGGGACCAAAACTGCTTATGAAAACCAAACTTTTTTATGACCATTTTACTAGTGGCATTCTATGACCTGAAGAAATACATACACATAGCATAAACATATACAACATACTCTCTAGAATAATAAACTAAAATAAACATATACGAGACTGTTTCCTATTAAGAAAAAAAAAGAAAAAAAAAAAGGAGAGGGAGAAAAAAACCATGGCCCTCTCCATTACTCAAACAGTGATGACAAGTAAATGAAATATCAATCATGTAAGCTGTCAACCTTTTGGGACAGCAATAACTGTTAACAAGTAGTCTGCAAAAATTGTCTGAGAATGACTTGTCCTCCACACACGAGCATTTGAGGTTTCCATGGAAAATTAAGATGCCAGTGGCTATTTGGAACATTGTTCAGGTATTCTTTTTAATGGAAAATTTGCCAGTTATTGATCCAAAGCATGTACCCCTTGCTTTCAGAAAGCTGCAAGCAACTTTCCAATCAGTGGCTGTCAAAAAAATTACTGCCTTTTTACACTGATACAAGACAACAGCTAAAGTGCAACTACACTGCTACTCAATGCCTGTCTTAATTAACTGCAATGCACAACAGAACAATAATTTTATGTATCATTCCAAAATATTTGCATAAGCATCATACAAACTATTTCTCCATACTCTAAAATAATTCCAGAACTGCCTGAAATCACTTACTGTCAAGTTCAGAAACCAAAAAGCCTAAAGATGCGTGACTCCAAACGTCTTCCCCAATCATAGTGTCATACCTGCATGGAAGAGATCTGTATTGTCAGGGAATGATCTTTTTGTTCTTAAACTGAAAGAAAACCCTCCACTTTCATTTTGGAGAACACTAGCAGAACTGGAAGTAAATTGTACTATGTCAAAATTAGTAGAAATATTTTGGCAGCTGTTCAATCCTCCAAATATTTGTTGCAGACCTCAAAATACTCAAAATTTAATATTTTTTGACCCCGGTATATTCTTCAAGAAGACAGTACATTCGTTCCTTTTCTTGTAGGCTAAGAACATTTGTTTTCTTATAAACATATCCCAAAATGACACTTATGATGTCAGAAAGTTAAACCATCAATGCAACACTCAAATAGGAAACAAGCTTAAAACTGAAGGGAAAAATTTTCAGAGAAGAAAAGCTGCTGAAGCAGAAAGAAGTCATTTACAGACATCCCATAATTTTTTAAGGGAAAGCAGAGAGTTGAGCAATCATAACTCTAATGTACTGAAACTTTAACAGTAAGCTTGGAAGCATAGCTAAAAGATGACCTTACAAAGGCGTGATTAATCTTAAGACTGTGCCAGGAAAACTCAAGTTTTCCAGTTTAACAGCAGAAATGGCAGACATTTTAAGAGGAAAAATTGAGAAACACAAGGAATTCCAGTGAGGAAGCATCACCATTGATTTAGTTGTATGAAACAAAACAAAACAAAAAACCCTCAAAGAAGCGCAAAACCCCCTTGACTGCAAGATTTTTCTTCCTTTCTTTCACACAACGGTCTCACGCTCTTTAATACCAACTCGTAATACAACGGTTACACCTCCTCTGGAAAGAAAACCGCACCTGAGACGGGCTTGTTCACTAAATCCCTTGAGTTTCACAGAGATCAACGACCAGCATCTGGAACCTGCACTTCCTTCACCCCAGGATCAAGTCACAGGCAATGACTCAAGTCTCTTTGGACCAGGGTCTGCCAACAGCCTTCCCATCAACCAACGTCCACCGCAGCCTTCGCAAGGCAAGAAACAGCACAATCTCTGCAGATATCAAAAGGATCCGAGTTTCACTGAGAAAGGCTTCCTGGAGCCTAGAAAAACCAAGCCCCCTTCCTAGGAAACACCAATCGTTGGATGTATTTATGGGCTCAGTTCAGGACGAGGACACCGCGCTGCTTTGCCAAACACCAGAGACCGTGGGCCCAAGAGGGATCCATTAAGCAAGACTCAGGCAAGGTGTAGGTGATCCCTGCTCTGCCTCCTCTGCCACAGGGAACTGAGGAGGAGGACTAAACTGAACCAAGTCGTTAAAACCACCTACAAACGGTACTGAACAGGTTTTGTTTCTGATATGTTCCAAGTTAAGGCCATTAATACGGTGAGAAATGCACTTCATGAGGAACCAGAATTCCATCTGGCTTAGAGAGAAAATACCCATTTGTTATTTTCTTGCTTATCAATTTAGTTCGAAAGGAAATGTTAAACGATTTTTTTCACTTACACCTGCAACAAGAAAGCAGCTATATTCCAAGTATTTTGTTTCAATAAGTAACTGCACACTTTATTTCTACAGACAGGTCTTATATTTATAGGTATCTAGACAGAGATTTTACACACATCTGTGTATATAAAGGCACACACAGACACACATATATCTCATATTAAAAAACAGAAAATACATTTTTAAATCCTCTATGAATATTGAGCCCGGAGCTACAATGAAACTCTTCTGTTAGGAGGGGTGAAACAGTCTCCAGATGAAAGTAGATTTTGAAAAATTTTTAGAGCCCAGGGGTTCATTTTTAATGAGCCGTTACTTTAAGTACTGCATAAAAAATACAAGAAATTGATAGTCCATTTAGCCTGCACTATACCTAATGCAAAAGTCATTAAGATGCATTATTCTTAATGTTTATGATATGATCAGTAAGTGTACAAGTCTTTTTTTTAAAAAGTCAAGCATGTCCATAAAGCTCCTATGACACAGTTTTTGAACACCTACACTTAATACAGGAATATTATACTGTGAACTTAACGCAGGAACACTGTGCAGTGAACACTGCAGCTTCGGTTAACACTCTGATACAAGCAAAAATACACAAAGAGAAACTGAAAAACACAGAAAACACCAGCATTTGTTATACTATACCTACATAGGACAGCATGGCTTTCATTTCTTCGTCGCTTCTAACAGTAATCCGATCACCATCCTCATCTTCATCTACCAAAGAAATGTATTACATTCATGAACAAGGGAAGAAGGATATTTTCAATTTTAATAGATAGGGTTTTTACTCGGACTTTTACAAATAAAGATACAAAGAAAGCATAAGCCAACTACACAAGGTAACCAGGCACTCTGAAATAACAACGTATAGTGACTCCAAACGTGAATTAACAAAGATAATTGCATCTAAAAAGGGGACGTGAACAAGGTGCTCAAAACTTCGCTCTCAACAGTTCTTTTACTGCCAGAACCTCTCCAGAAGCAGAGAGCCTTACACATGCTGTAACACCCCCCTGACAAAACCCATCAAGGTATTCTTCTGACGCAGCAAATGGGAAGTAAAGTTTCTGCGTGTGCTTCGATCCTCTCAGACGGAGTCACGTTTTGGCAGTTTCTTTCACCAGAATTACTAGAAATCCAAAAAATAAATAAATAAATTGTTTTCCTTCCACTAAAACCTTCTGGTCTCACTGACAACCCTACCTCAGCTCACCTGCCCTGTGTCAAGTTCCTCCCACCCCTCTGTCCCCATCCCACCCCCCATGACGAACACATGGGCATCTCTACTTCTTCATGACACAGCAACGCGGACCTAAAAAAAAAAAAACGGGAACTTACAAGCGGACACAAATCCACAAAGTTTACATCGAGAGACTTAGACAAAGGGAGAAGTTCGTGACCAAGCAAAACCAGGCTGTGTCTTTGTTCACAGGGCAACTGGGGGCGAAGAGGAGGCACGAGCAGCAACCACGGTTTCGTGACGATGGCTCGGACGCAGCCACAAACACCCAGACAAGGCACTTGTGGCGTAAGGAAAGAGGCTGCTGTAGAACCAGGGGAACGGGAGCAAGATTCGGAAAGGCTCCAGCAGAGCAAGGCGTTCAGAAAGAATTATTAATACGAAGGTCTGAAGGAGGAATAGGCTTTCCCAAGACATATGGCAGGATTCAGCAGGTGCAGCTTTACCAGGGGGCTCAATCCCCCCCATTAGCACCAGCTGGTGCCACAACACACTCCAGTGTCACATGCAGCAGTTGCCGAGACACCTTGTGCAGCTCCTTCACTCCGACAGGAGCAGCATCCACCCCGTCCTCTCCTGCCCCGGTCCTCGTGGAAAGCTCATACGCTTTCACTGACGGGAGAGCTGCACCAGTCACCAGACGAACAGAGCAGCCCCCTCCCCTCCAAATCAGTTACAAAATGTTAATTTCTTTTTATTGCTCTAGCTTTGGGGGAGAAGGGAGGGTTAATGATCTGTCTCCAATTTTTGCCTGCTGCCATTTAAATATCTTCCTTAGATACTTTTAAAAAAAAAAACAACAACCCACAACACAGAAAAACCCCAAAGCACACTGGTGTTTAGCCCAGTTGTACATTTATTTTTTCCCTTTAGACTGGGAGCTCTTTGAAAATAAAACAACGAAACATCCAACTGACACCAAAGAATGGCTGACAAATTCACACGCCTTTTTGGCCAGAAAACTTCTATCATGGGAAATCTCAACCCATTTGAGCTGGGCTATTTAAAAGGCCTGAGACACCCACCTCTTCCTGAAAGCTGATGTGTCAGGACACATCCACGCACACGAGGCTGGGCAGACCAGGATGATTCTGCCCGTGCTCCAAGCTGCAAGCAAGCCGGTCAGAAAGCTGTATGGTCACAAGAGAAGAGCACTCTGCCCGAGCTAACATGCACTGGGAAACCAAGGAGCAACACACACACCACATTTCTAACACCTATTAAACACCAAAGGGTGAGGACGTGGAGATGAGTGAGTGCATTTGCACGGCTTCAGGACCAGAGCAGGTTTGCTCCCGACCAGCTCAGGACATAAGCAGAGCCTGGGGCAGTCTGTCTGTCTGTCCCCCTCTCTATAGATGTGCTCTCTGCAATCACAGCCCCCCCTGTGATTACATCAGCATAAAAAAAGGTGTCATTGTGTCCCTATCTTGCTCATAGTTATGCACAAGAATTTGGGAAGAGATCCAAGTCAACAAATTAAAGTTACCCGAGAAAAGGAGTTTGTTCATTTTGCCTCTGAAAATTTCTGAGGCTATAAGAGCAAAACAAGGCAGAAGAGAGTGCAAAGCAACAACAGAGAAATAATAAGGAAAAAAAAAAAAGTAACAAAAATCTTAGAATTACACTTTAAAAATGTACTGGAAGAGAGCTATGGGACACTGGAAATGTGGAAGCTGGAAGAGGATAGACAGCATAGCGATGCCCTACAAGAGCCTTATCTCATGGAAATTTAACTGGTGAACTGCCAGATTGCTAAAACTACTTGCTAGGGTTACCAGCCTGCAGCGAGTCATGAATGATGAAAAGATTAAGAAGAGTTAGTGAGTTGAATCTGAGTGCTTCCTTGCCTGGAAACATTTTAGGCAGAAAGGAGGAGGAGCTGTGAAACTGCTACCTGGCCAGAACCCAAGTCCCAGTCGCAGCATGTAACGGGGTAAGGAAAGCTGAAGAAGCAGCTGTTGGAGTAGTGAACACAGCGAACGCCATGCATCAACAAGAAGGGATCAGAATAAAAAGCAGAAGAGGGGAAACATATGAGAGAGAGATGAATATATGGAGATAAAAAGCCGTTAAACGTGCCTGGCTTGAGGGAACAGACTGAGCTGGGACCACCAATAAAAGAAAAAGTGGAAAATTCTTAAAGCCCACTTGCAAAATGTGTATTAAAAAAACCAAATAAACAAATCACACATTCTTCATTGCAAATGATTAAGAAATTGACTCCAAAGTTCTCAGGACCGCAAAATTCTTGATGGTGGCACAAAGAGAATAAACTAAAAATACGTTGATGAAAACGCAGATAATGTTACCTGGCATTAAAAGGAGCTGAATTCTAAACCAGCCAGGCAATGCTTCTAAAGAGCAAAACCAGAAGAAAATCCCTCCCATAACTATGCAGAGATCCTTTGCCACCCTACCACGACATTTAAGTGGGCACAGCCCAAAAACTAGCTAGATACAACACATGGCTTCAGAAAGATTTCCAGGCTTCTCTACTTGCCTAGAGCACAGCAATACGATTTTCCAGCACATTAGGGAAGCAAAAGTAGAACCAAAAAATCCTACGTACTGGCTGGATTTTGCTAATGTCACTTAAAATGGAGGAAGAAATCCTTGCAAGATACCAAACAGAGTGCAGCAGATGGTAAACAAATATTATGAAGCAATCTTCACAAAATCTGCAGTGTGTCACAAATATACAAAATGGCAGAGTTTGGATGAAAGGATCATAACAGGCCATATGTTGTTAGTGATTTTATTTGTAGTGATGTGTAATACAGTGGTGAAATCCACATAAAGGTCCAACAGGAGGAGAAGTGCAGCCCCAGGTAGGAGCCGCAATGGCTGGTACACTGGAGATAGCAATAACTAAACAAACAGTAGAGCAGCCTGCACTGGATGGCAATTATCCACATCCGAAGCAGCAATGAAGCAGGTGAGAACGAAGCTGAAGCTGGTAAAATCCAGGCATTTGATATGGAAAAAGTAACCAGAAAAATCACGCATCAATATACATAACATATTTTAGATGCCAGTTAAATGGCAGGGGAAACGGTTTTGTGCAGATGTAAACGACAGACTAGAGACATGAACTGAAAGCACAGAAGCAGATGTTAGAAGACACAGCAAAATAAGTACTTCCAGGAAAGTTCTACACATGGTACCATTAATATGGGCTACTGCCCTGATTGCAGCGACTGCTACTGGTGCATGAAGTTCAAGCAAAGCTAATGTGTGATGTGGGAGGTATGTAAAAAAAAAATATTAACAAATCATAAAAAAAAAAAAAAAGGCAAGGTCTGGAGCTTGGTTTTGCTCAGGTCTCTTTGGAAAGTCTTGTTTTAAAAAGCAGGGCAGGAGAAACGTCGAGGACACAGAGAAATAACACTTGTAATTTCCATTCTTAGGTTTCTAGCGTTTCAGGAGAGGAAAACACAAACATAGGAAAAGAAAGATAAAAAGCACTAAATAGTACTTGAAGGACCACAAAACAATATTTCCTTTGATCATCTACAGGCAGAATTATCCATAAAGCTCTAAAAAGGGGAGAAACGCTACTAAGAATGTAAGGCCCTATCTTGTATCTGCTCTCTCACCTTCAGCATCACTACCTTACTCACAACACTACCAATCCCCTCCAGCTCCTTCTTGCTATTTCACCTCTATCAAAGTAAAACACAGAGTCATACAGAAAAAAAAAAAAAAAAAAAAAAATTAAAAGGGAACAGCAGGAGCCCTCTCCAGTTGGGAGAGAACTCCAGCCCCATATCTTATCCCCCAAGACAGAGATGTTTGACTCCCCTTTGCAGCTTATTGCTCTTCAGACAGGACAATCCCTCAGGAATCCCTCAAAAAATAAACAAGGTTCAGAGAGTACATCTGAAACAGATATTAGCAGATAGAGGTCTAACTCTGCGCTAACATACTCACCGAGAGCTTTCCTAGGATAATAGAACCACCTTCACGAGGTGCAAGTGCCATTATGGACAACCCCAACCTACAGCTTGCTCAGATCCTCCACAGAAGCTATTTTTCCCAGCTTCTCAACCAGACCCACATGGCCTTTTAGAAGTTATTGCTACTGCCCCAGTCTAACCAGGTGTCACTCTCCTGCAGCTCTCATACCTCCTCCAGGAGCTGAAGCTGAATAACTACTGACATCTCCTGCTCTCACAGAGGAGACAGAGAAGACAGTGTATTTAGCCTGAGCCCAGAAGGGAAAAAGGGAAACTAAACCCACAGCAGTCCTTCCAGCAAAAAAACAGACATTTGTTCCAGTGAAAGGAAACACTAATTTCTAACGCTGCTACATTTGGTACAAAATCTGCAGGTTGTACCACGTTTCTGTAAAAGCTGCTGCTCTTTTGGCTTCTTCCAACGGAGGATTAAAATTTTAAACTTAGACCTACAGGTACTTTATACTTTGCATTTAATTTGAGCAATATAATTGCAGTGAGGAGTAAGAGCATGGTAAGGTCATGCTGGTAATTAAAGCTATATTGTAGAAATATGCTCATTCAAGATGTGATTAAATAATAAAATATTGCTTAGTTCAGTATCATCATTAAAGTTGCATTAACGCGTAAATATTTAACTGTAACATATCATGAACGTAAACATTATTTATTTAAAAAATGACAGCCCCATAATGTGACAAAGGAGACAGTTTATACAAGTCATACTTACACTCAAATGCCGTTGTCGTTGCATCTGGCAAAACTTGACCGATGACATCCTAAAACGTAAAGCAGAGTTAGCTATACATCACACGTGAGATGCCTGAGATGATTTAGAGTAAATCACCTCAATCAGACCCCAGCTACAGGCTGAAGACTTAAAGACCCACCACTCACCACCGCGCCCCAAAACCGCAAACTTCTCAGTGCGCAGCACAAATCAGTACAAATCACGGTGCTCTTCTTCCTCTCCATGTTACCTCAAGGAAAATTGTCTTTTCAGCAAACTCAGTCATAATTGCAAACAAGTCAGTGTTGTCTGTTCTTGCAGTTTAAAGAATTGATTTTGTCCGTAGGTTATAGAAAAAGGAACATCTAACTCATCGAAGTTAGTCATAAAAACAGAGGTTTATGAATGGCTTTTTACTTAAGAAAGCACGTTTTCTCTCTCAATCCTCCTGCTTACATCACCCCAATTGCTCCTCTCCACCTTCAAACAACTGCCCTGGTCCTCCCTCCCACCGAGGGTAACCTCATCACACAGCTCCATCTCCTGCCCTGCCTGCAGCTTCCATCAACAGGGGAACAAACAGCTCCAGCCGGCTTTAGGGCTGCCATCGTGAGTTAAAACAACACCCGTGAGACTGAACCAATTTTTGTTGCTTTCAGCCCACAACCGCCCGGGAAAGCGGTGGGACCCAGCAGCCGCGCCGAGCTGCCCGCTGCTGCCTCGCCAAGCAGCGCTGTGTCAAGATACTCTCCGCTCCATGCAAGCCGGGAAGTTTGGAGGGCTCTTCGTCATTCTTAACTGGAATTGAAACTTCTTCAAAAGTTGGTAGACTGGAGGAAATAAGGTTAAAATACCCAAAGAAGTGAAGGCGTTGGGACGATGCCGTGCAACCCCTTTCTCAGGGGATGTGCAACTCACACACACAAGCCCATCACAGAATAGACCAAATATTTCCCAGTGTTATACGTCTCTGATCCAAACCAGCATTTTTTAAGCTAATACAAGCCTTTCCTGTACAACTAAACTGAGAGGAGGAGAGCTTTTTTTTTTTTGCTTTCTTTTTTTTTGGCCTTTACATACAGCGTTTACTCAAAATTCAGTGAAAAATAGCTGCTCAGACTGAAGTCACCCTGGCCTCCCAGCGTATGTGCTGTTGTCAGCCTTTGCGAGGCTGCAATATGTCATGTTAGGGCACAGCATAAATGCACAGCATGGTTTTTTTTCCTTCCTGCTGCCTGATTTCTCATGTCAGACAATCGCTCCACTGACAGTGTCACAAAGTGATTAGAAATTAATGAACAACAATATTTATTGTAGTGCATAACACTGCGAGAGCATCTCGGGGTGCTAAGCACACCCCCCCCTCCCCGTATCAAAGCTTTAGTGATCACGGTCCTGTCACTTTTATTTTCTCTATTTTTTCATTTAGTCTAAAAACAGGAAATTCAACATTCGGTGCAATGTTAAAGAGACACAATGAACACAACGAGAAAGCAGCAAAAGCAACCTAAAGATTTCCACAGAGCTCACTGAAGCAAATAGTATTTCTAAAACTTTCTCATGTTCTTTTCACTTGAGATGCTAAAATAAATCGATAGTATGCAATTTAAACTATTAATTGTATACAAAATATGTGCAACACAGCTTGTCTAATTATGTAGATTGTAAATTTGTGGAGCCAATAAAAAGGTAAAAGAAAAAAAAAAAAAAGACCAAAAAACCCATTGCCATGTTAACAAAAATTCTTCCATTTAAATAATTCTGCATGGTCTGACAGCGCTGTCGGTCCTCTGTCAAAAGCCAGCCAAGCTGGACCCTCTGTTCCTAACAAGAAATTAAAGACTTGTCTAAACAGAAGACTGTAGTGTTAACTAATTATTTCTAAATCCATTTAGTTAAACATTGAAGATTCCTCAGCAAACACACTTTAATTGTGTTAGATTTAAGCCACTTGTAAAGTGTTCTTATGTGGGCACACAGATGCTTCTGTGAAATGGATTTAGAACTTGTTATCAGAAAAGGACCCCAGTTCTGGGGTATTTAAAAAACTGTATTTAAGAGGTGCGTAAGCACGGCACCGAGACGGAGCCAGTTCTGGCGGCCCCAAACGCCTGCTAGCAAAGCTCCAAGACTCCCAAGGGTGCGAGAGCACTGACACAGTGATGACAAATTCTGACACTCCCCTCTTCACCCATTCAGAACAACCTTCTCTATATATTGGGACTTCTTTAAAATGAGTGATCACCACACAAATAAATTTAAGAATTATGCACCATAACTCTGTCTTACACTAAATAAACAGCTGAAAGGAAAACCCTACCAACAACTACAAAAACTTTGCTCTCGTCAACTTTCAATATTTCTATTAAATCAAAGCATCTGAGAAAAACTAGCCTTGCGGCGAGTGGGAGAGAGGGAAATTCCACCATTACTCTGTTGTTACCATAGTATTTTCATCAGCCACATAAGATTTCCATGCTCAAGCATTCAGCAGACCTCTCAGTGACCCAAGCTTAAAGGATTACTCTAAATTTCCACAGATTATGCACGCATGACGATTTTCTACTATCACAACAGAGATCACAAACAATAAAATACTCCAATTTGTAGGCATTGTTCAAGTGGGCTCTCATACATGATAGCTTCTATTCTATCTTACAAAACTGAAAAGCCTCTAACAGTGAAGGGAAAAATTAGGGAACAGCAGCCTAAACAGAAACTCCATCAAATCTGCTCTCTAGAAGAGCTGTGGAGCACTTCTCTCTCGGGCGAGAATGCAGAAAATGTGAAAGCACTGCTTTAAATAACAGTGTAAATATTGAAACCACGGCCCTCACTCCCGTTCCAGTTAAAACTTGGTTTATCTCAGTATGACAGCATGAAGTTATCCTGAATTAACACCAAGTGCTTAAATACTCCAGTGACAGCCAGGACAAACGAATCTAGACAGCCTGATGAAAAAAATAAGCTTATTGTAATTCGTTTAGTGGTGCCTTTAAAATAAATCTGTTTACTGGTAACTTACAGGTCTGCAGAGCTGATACACACAGAACATATTTAAAGTGACAATATGAAGAACAGCTCGTAGCACCCACTTTAAGAAAGCAATCAAGAAAATCCCTAACTAAGGCATACAAGCAGTGCCACTTCCACGGGTCAAGCACCATCCTACTGCATCAAGGCCAACCACCAGCACCAGCCTGCAGGTATCAGGCCTGCTGGTTTGAACGCCGGCTACACAGCTTGGCATCTGTCAAGGCTCCTCCGAGAGACAGAACTACAGCAGTTGAAAATTAAGAAATGTGTCATTTAGTGTGTCAGATGTTGCACTGAGCGTCAGACTCCTGACTCCCAACAGGTTGTTCTGTGGCTAAGGACAGGATATTTGGTGACTCTATACCACAGCTTCTTCTCTGAAAAAGGGAGATGAAAATAATCTTGCATGCCAGCCTGAAATCCTGCAAGGCTACACTCATAGAAACATTAGGTTGGAATAGACCTCTAAGATCATCAAGTCCAACCATTGACCTAAAACCCCCATGCCCACTAAACCGTGTCTACAAGTGCTCCATCAACACGGTTTTTGAACACCTCCAGGGATGGTGACTCCACCACTTCCCTGGGCAGCCTGTTCCAATGTTTGGCTACTCCTTCAGTGAAGAAATTCTTCCTAATGTCCAACCCAAACCTCCCCTGGTGCAATTTAAGGCCATTTCCTCTTGTCCTATCGCTAATGCTCATTTCTATTCACAAGGCTGTTCACTTCTAGGATGCTAAATTAACAAAAATCCGTGTTTAAAAAAAACCCGCGCTGATCTCAAAGATAATTTTACGGGGCTTTCTTAATACAAAGCAGAACATTGGACCTACCTTAGAAGGATGAACAGCCTTACTACATGGCTAATTCAAGGCTCCCCCATGCCCTCAGTTTCCACTGATGCTAAAGACCTGGGGGTATGTACCTGGGTTTTGGAACTGGCTAGCAAACGGGTTTCTGCAGTTCAAGGCAGGACGGGACTTCCCACCAAACCACTTGGACTGCAGGTACACGGCGCAGGCTCAAGCCTGCCGTGCTCTGGACGGCACCACAGAGCCAGTGAAGGGCTAAACGGGGCAAACTACGGGGGTCATGTGGAGCTTGGCTGTGCCCCAAACTGCAGGAGCTGAGAAAAAAGGGGTACCTTGCATTCCCGTGTCTTCAGTTTAGAGAGGCATGGACAATAAGGGAAACAGTGGGGCCTCACTGGATTATCACTATTCAGTAATTTACCTTAGTAGGGAACGTCTCATTTCTCCACATTATCTTTAATTGATACTCTTAACACATAAGCCCTCTGTAATTGCCTACCAGGTGAGTGGAAATCACAGTGAAGGCAGAAGGACAACAGAGGACTAGGTCAGCCCCACTCCTGCCCTCCCCAGCCACACATGGGGCCAGATCTACCACGTTCCAGTGTATGGAGCCTTACTTCATTTAATTGCTGTGGTTACCAGATAAATGAAGTGCATGTGCACGCTGTGATGGCACCTCTTGAAACACAGACAAACGAGGGCCTTGAGACAGTTCAGACCTTATTAAACAACTTCTTCTCTTAAGATTTCACAGTCCACAAGAGAGGGCTTTGACATGAAAATGACAACCATCGAGCGGTACTACTGCACGGCCGCACTCCCAGCTGAACACTGTCACCCACCATTCCACCTGAGACTGCCACTGACGGGGAGAAACGTGTCATCCCCCACTGACTCACCATACATGACCCAATGCTTCCAGTTTGGACGGAGGTACTGCTGTCACCGCTACCCTCACCGCAATAGCCTAACAGAGGGTAACTGAAAATTACCATCACCAGCACAGATGTGACCTGATGTAGAAATCTGTCCACTTCCACTCAACAAAGAGCTGGGACGTTTCAACCCAGGAACCGTTCATATTCTTCTGTGTGGAATTAATGTAGTGTGCAGATGGCTGGAGACAGACCTGCGTCTGCAGAGGAGCTGGGTGAAGCGAACCACAGGTGAGCTGCGGCAGCCGCACCTTCC